TCTTTTTTCTCTATGTTTTTTTTTATATTCTCCTTTTTTTTAGAGACCCGCTGGGGCGAGGGGGGGGGCGGGGGGGGGGGGGGGGGGGGGGGGGGGGGTTCTGACCCCCCACTTTTAGAAAATTTTCGTTTCTTAACAGCTAAAATCGTAGTTTTTCTTAAAAAAAAGATCTCAAAAAGAATGGAAAATGTTAAAAAAAGGACTTCAGACCCCCCACTTTTCGAAAAATGGTACATTTATCTTTTCAAAATTCAAAAATTTTCATGGACCCTCACTTTTTTTTTCTTCGGCACATCCCTGGTTACGGAATCTCATTTAAATCATTAGGCGTTTTGCACTGTTTTTTGTTCATAGGGTATGCATATATTTTGAAGTAGCCTTGAATTCTGAGCAAAACGAAGTATTAAGATAATCGAAACTTCAACTTTTATTTTTCTTAAAAATGTTCTGAGTCAAAAAAAAATTTCGTTGAATTCTAGTGAAAAATACATCATTTGATGTAGAATCTGATGCTAGTGATGACTATCTGGTTTGTTTATTTTCATCATGGTTCTAACTGATTTTTGGAAGAAGGATAAAATTTTTGAAACCAAAACTATTTTTAGTTTGTTATTCAATGCAGTTATGCTTGTTCAAACCTAAGCAACTTCTTCGTAGAAAGTTTATTTGTATATAGCTTCATTTCATAGTAAAATGTTAAACTCGCAGCTTCGCTAAAAAAATCGAGTTTTTGAAATTCTGTAATACTTGGTCACGTTGTTGTAGCATTTTTCAACGATGTTTAAAATCATATATAATATTAAGAAAAAAGTTTATATATAAGCAAAGTACGAATAAGTTTTTATTTTTTATTTTTTGTTTCGATACAAAAGAAAAAGAATAGAAGAAGACAATCTATTAGAATAAAATTCTAAAATAATCAAACTTCACTTTTTACGATAATAAGAAATGTTTGTTTTTTGTTTTTGATGAATCTAATTTATAAAACAAATAATTATTCAAATTCGTACAATAAAGTCGTCAGTAGTAGGAATGGTACGCATAGGTTTGGTTAATGATAGTGAGTGTTTTTTATCTAAGTTGACTTTTGAATTCGAACTACTGTTTGTTATTGGTAAAATTTTTTGTTGTCGATGAACCATTGAATTTATTTTAGTAGGAGAAGAATGAAGTGATGATGATGATGTATATTTTTGTAATGGTAAAAGTGAAGTAGATCGATCTTTTCTTATATTGATATTTTCATAATCCGCATGTTTTGTTTTTAATGATGAAATAGGCATTGTTAAATGAATATTTTCTATTGATGATTGATATCGTTTATGATTTTTTGATATTGTTCGTGTTAATGTCCATGTTTGTTCTTGTTCATAAGAACTCAAATATGGATTATTTGTTTTGTTTACATTTACAATTGAATAATAAGTACAACTTTGTCGAGCATGTATTTTATCACTATCATGTACTGATTGTTTCATAAACCATTCGACTTGTTCACGTGGCATTTCAATTGTTAGATAGCAATGTTAATCAAAGTAAATCCTCTTAAATAATCTGTGAGTATATACACACACTGTTCATACAATGAAGACCGATAGAAGAAATATGAGTATTAAAAAAAAGACCTCTTCTTTCTCCTCCCTCTTTTTCGATTATAACCTTAAAGGTAGAAATTTTTCGTTTTTTTTTTTTTTATTTCTATCCTCAACATAAAAAGTACATATAAAGTACCACAAATCATCATATGAGTCGAAAAGAAATGGCATTCTGTAGTAAGTTGTACAATTACCTGCATCCTTATATTACAAAAAAAAAAGAAAAGAAACGATGAACAAGTGTACTGGCTGGACACAAATTAGTGAAGGACGCCCTACAGCGGAACAAGTTCATGCTCCTCTTTTTTTTCTTTTCTACTTGTAAAAACATTCAACCATATGTATATATTTTATGACTAAACACAGGATATAAAGTCAAGAAGGACATTTGATTATTCTTTCATAAAGATAGACAGACTTCATTTTATATGACATATATATATATTTATTTGTTCTCGATAATAATGAAACACACTAATGTACAAAAAAAAACAGAAAAAAATCACTAGAACAAGGTCGACTATGATTGATTGGTCAATAATAATAATAACATATATTGAAGGGAGAAAAATAATAATAATCATAATAATAATAATAAAAGCAAGATAAGAAAAAGAAAAAAGGAAGACATTCTCAAATTAATTTAAGTTGTTGTGACTGAATCTTTTTCCATCTTAATCATATTGTTAGTTTTTTCAGTACATTTTCGTTCAAGTTCAAGTAATTCTCTATAGAAAAGAAAACAAGAATTGATTATGTCAAAAAAAAAAAAAAAGAAATTCATATATTTACTGTCTTAATTTATTGACATATGAACGAAGTTGGATTTCTTTTTCTTTAATAATCAAATATTCATCCCAGGCTTCATGTTGAGGTATTTGATTTTCATAAAATCTTAGATATAAACTGCGCCAAAGAACCTACAAGCAGATTTTATCATTATTCTTGAGAAGAAAAACTATACATATATATATCAAACAACTTACAATACTTTGTGCTGCAACACTTGGCCATAGAACATTTAAATTTGGTTCATAGAATGGATTCAAAAATGTACGAAGTATTTCTGGTCGATTAAAATAAGACCAAAGTGACACTGTTTTTTTAATACCATTATATTTCACTTTCTCTTTTTCATTATTAAATATAAATGTTCCTATAAAATAAAATATAATTAAAATTTTTTGTGCTTTTTTTTTTTAAGTATAAAATTCAACTTACCAAATTTTGATGAATAAGCATGCTGAAATAATTCTATTAATAATGTATCATTAAATTCAAATGAACAAGCAAATTGTTGTAAAAGCTAAAAATAAAATATATCAAATAAAAAGTAAAAGAAAATACTAATAACATTTCTTCTTACTTGCCAAGTACAATCAAGAAAAAGTGTAAATAACGGTGATTCTTGTCCATGAATACTTTTACCAAATGCTGATCGTGTACAACGTAAACGAAATGGATGTCCAGCTTGAATCCATTCACGTTCAATTAATGCTTCAAAACTATTACAAAAGAAAACAAAAAATAACCAATTTTGTATTTCTGTCTAACACCCATCTTCATACCCTGTTATTGTACGACAATCAGGATCAAGTAATACTTGAGCTAGACTTGTTACTAATAATGTTGCATCCCATCCATCACTGCCATGAACAAGAACCGATGTTTCTAAATAAATATTAATTATTATTAATATTTATATTTATAATATTCTATTAATTTTTACCTTCACAATCAATTGTTTGAGCAATAATACATGCTACGGTTAATGCTTCTTTAACATGAAGTAACCAATTACTTGTGTCTAATTTTGATAACCATCGATCTTTATCAGATTGATCAATACATGCTAAATATCAAATAAAATTAGGAAAAGGGAAATTTTTTTTTCTTGCAAAAGTATTATTCGCTTAATACCATCCATTAATTTCATAAATGATTCTTGTAAAACATTAGATTTATCTAAATGTCGATGAAGACGTTTCCAAAGTGCATAATGTTGTTCTGGTTCACATCCACCACCTTATGAAAAGAATTAATAGAAATCAAAACATCAAAGAAATATTAAAAAAACTCTTTTTTTTTACCTCTACTTTGTGCAATTTTTACTATATTTGGATGTCGTGTATCGAGTATCCATCCTTTTTTATGACGTTGAGTAAGCATAGAATTAACAAGTGCTTCATCTTCTTTACAACGACGTACATTTGAACCGATAAGTGGTTGTGCGCATCGAATGAGACATGATTTTGATGACTTATGTAAATAACATAAAAGTGGAAAACGACCATGACTACGAAAACTTGCTGAACGTTTAAGAAAATCATCGCTAACTGATTTTGGTACAACTAATCGTTCGGAATAAGTTTCACAAATCTAAATAACGCATTTTTCATATATAAGCATAAGAATAAAAAAACAAGGATACATACAGCAAAATTTTTATTAACATCACTAATACGCCATTCATCACTAATGGCTTGTAAACGACTAAATTCAGATTCGACAGAAAATGCTGTCCAACCATCTTGAATAACTTCAAAATCACGTGGAAAACAAAATGGAAATAAAAATGTCACATCACAAATTGATCCATCTAAATAAAGAAGGAAATCACTAATACTAAGAAAATATCAAAACTAATACTCTTAGTGCTAATTATAATATCTTACAAAAAGTTCAAGATCTTTTCTTGATATATATTGACAGTTCAAACAGTACTCTATAATAGTTCATAGATGGATAAGGAAAACGTTTGTTTCTACCTGCAAGTGTGTACTGTAATATATTTTGTTTTTAGTGGTCAGGCTCCATCTCTCTCAAAGCAGTTGAAAGATGATATAAATGGCTTCGTGAAGATACAGCACGATCTGACGGCTCTATAATAACTGAACAACATTCGAAAAGATCGATTAGACTCACTGCCTTATTAATAATAATCCTTATGTTACCATTGACAAATTCCAAGTGCATACTGATCTACATCCTGGTGCCATCCAAAGAATAATTTCTGATCATTGTAAACTGAAAACGATTACTTCTCGTTGTATATTGAAATAGATGATGATGGAAGATATATTCAACTGTACTGAGAGGCGGAGCCTTACCACCAAAAAATAAACCTTTACTACAGACATGAATGTGGAAACAAAAAGTTTCCTTATCTGTCTAAATCACAAATGAATAGCTTTCATCGAAATTCTTAAATTATCATGCCAACTGAAGAATATTGAAATATTCCAGAGCATTGTTTGAACAATAGTTATATATAGAGAAAATTTCTTTGAGCCTTCTATATGGTATTTTAGTACTACTACCACTACTTTTGATATGCCTCAAGTATTTTCTAAAATTACTAAATCAAACGATTTTTATAATAAACGAATCTTATAATATATCAATCTCATATACCTGTATTTGCTATAAGTGCATCTAATGATTCAGCAAATTTAATTGCATCATCCAAAACTGGAATGTCAAAATAACATGTTTCTAACGTTTTAAGACGAAGAATAATAGTATAAGTAGAAGGTAAGGATTGTGAAGGTGTTAATTGTGAGCGAAATTCATTTTTCATTGGAAATTTCGGTTGAATTGCATCCATATTGGTATAAAATATCTATAGAAAATGTTTTAAGAATAATAGTTGCTTTTTTTTCAAACAACTATCTTACCCATAGTTCTTTATAATTTCCATCAGGTTGTTTATGTGTAACAATAACATTATGCAAAGTAATATTAACTATTGATTCAGGATATGATTGTAGATGGTCACGAAAAACTAAATTTCTTACACAAGGAATTTTAATAAGATCAGTAACCATCTAAAAACAAAACCGTATATAACATGAGCAACAAAGCAAAAAAAAAAGAAAAACAGAATACACATTAAATAACAAAATCCTATTTATTTTTGAAATATCAATTTTCTATCGGTCTTATTGTATTTGTTCCTGTAAATTTATACAATAAAATATACAATAAACCTGGTAGAAAAACAATAGGTAACAATATGAAATAATATTCATTTGTAATTTGTGTTAAACTAATTAAACCACAAAGAAGAAGAACAATATGTATAATATAAATAATCCAATTTTGAATATTTCCACAAAGTTTTCGTAGAAATGGAATCCATTCATTTTCACCATTACCAATTAATGTAAAATGAATAGCATTAAGAAGTATAGAACTGGTAATGATCAAAATTGGAAAAGAAAAATCTACAACAAAATAAAAAAAACATTAAATCTATAAATTTTGAAAATATCATTTTTTTTTTTGTATTTCTTACAAATAAGGCCACCACATAAAGCATGTAACACAAGTAAACATGGATAAAAATGAAGAGCACTATAAATTGATGCTGAAATAAATTTTTGATGAATTATTGAAATAAAAAATGGTCTTATGAGCAACATAATTAAACTCGCATATGTATATAAAACAAAAATTGCACTTTGTCTAAATGAGAAAAAAAAAACGTCACAACAACAAAAATTATCTTTCCTTTTTTTCTTGCCATACAATGGATAAACAACTTCATATGAACATCGTAATTTTTTTCGATAATTTACAATTGGATTATGAAATATTGGATAAAAATCACTGAATAACTTCACTTGACATGCATTAAATGTTAATTTACCAATTGGTGGAAATGTTAATAAAGTAAAAATAAATGCTAGAATAATTTCCAATATAGATAGAAAATAAAGAATTGTCTGTCTAAATAGAAAAGAAAAATGAGAAAGTCATAGATCTTTTTTTAGTTTTATTATTTTATGTATAGAAAAATACATAAAATAAAATAATCTATAACAGATGACAGTTGCTGTCGAAGGATAATTATAGATCATTAGAAGAAGAAAACGATTTGTCTTATTAATTTCTACATTTCAAACAGA